TGTAGCAGTTGAGCCCAGGTGTTGCTACAAAGTTGCATTGACGTGTATAATAGCTAGAGGAAGTAGGGCCATGAAGGGGGGCAGCCCATGACAGTGTCAGACGCATAATAGGATGGTCAATGCTGCGGAAGGGTACCAAGACTCGTTCCAGGGAGAGGAGGTTCCTGAGTTTAATGATGTCAAAGGAGGTTCTTGTGATCATCTGTGGGGGTTTATTCTATACAGTACAACCGTGTTGTATAACATTTTTGAATCAGATCCTTTTTTAAACTGGTAAGGTCTTCTATCATTTTAAAGTCCTTGTAATGCCATTGTTGTATGCCGGGGTGGATGGTAGCTTCCACTGGGCAGTGGACGCAGCATTGACTATACTGTTACTTATTATAGAACTTTTATATACCTTGATTAAGCGCGTTGTGGTGAAGTAGAAAGAAAGAAGGTGTTTCGTGGGATAGGGTAGTCCGTGAATTTTTGGACAATAGTATAAACCTGGCCCAAAAGCTATCAGGGCTGGGCAGGTCCAGAAAACATGCAGTATGTCTCCTGAAGAAGCACTACAGGGAGTAGAACGAATGTAGAAGAACTGAGGGGTAGAAAGAATGTAGAATGCTGATGGATGATCTATAGGACAGAGTAAGATAGAGTAAGGGTTTTTCTTCTGAAAGAAGTTTAGTCAGGTTCCTTTCCCACCTATCCAGAAATCCAAGCGTAGAGTTTGGGAGAGTCTCCTGAACAAGAGGACTTTCCAAAAAAACTAAGATAAGCATATATGGGAAAGATAACAAATGTTGAATAGGACCTTTGGATATGCATTTACTTTCAAAGTGTGTCTTAGGCAGGGAAATAGTGAGATGGTTGGTAGGGATCTGAGGAGGTGAGAGAGTTGAAGCACCCACCAGGGATCTAGGAAAGACAGGTTGGGGGTCATGGAGCAATTTCGTAGCTGGCGGTCAAGAGGAGTTGCTTATAAAATAGGGGCCCCGAATCTGTCCCTTTGTTGCAAAGTGTTGAAAGTTGATTCCTGTCCCTCTGGTAAAAATTGTGGGTTTCTCATCTCTAGTAGGAGAAGTGAGGGAGAAGGAAGAATTTTTTGTCTACAACGCTCAATGATTCCTGTAAGGTGTGAAGCAATTTGATGTTTGGTAGGGACATGCCCCCATTCAATTTCGATCTCCATTGAAGTGTTTGTTTTGGGTGGGCTGGTTTATTGGCCCACATAAAACTATTAAGCACCGTTTACATAGGCTTGATAAAGGCTGTGGGTGTGGATTGGGTTTGTCTGAAGTGGGTATAGAATGCCGGGCAGTACATCCTGTTTGACAGACGTTTCCCTTCCTCCGGGTGGCTAGTTCTTTTTTAATAACTGATACAGTATAAAGGGGACAAAATGAAATGTGTAGAGTTGTGACAGATTGTTGGGCAGTTGGATGTAGACATGTGCGATTCATTTTGTCCCGAATCTAAGGGCTCTAGATTGCATTTTAGGTGTGGGGGAAGGGGTGGACTGGGAATTATGTTAAATGTGTGTGGGGGGACACAGACTGGGGTTGTTTATATATATATATATATATATATATATA